TTCCCTACGTCTTCCTGATGACCAAGCACAGAGCCAGAATGCAGAGTCTGATCCAAATCTCACTCACTCCCGAACAGCATTGCAATCACAAAAGTTACTCCAGATTTATACTGAAGCAGTTGGAACTGAACCCCAGATTTCCTTCAGAGTACCATGAATGTTTTACAGCTTAAGTACCATCTCCAAAAGCTGTTAAGTATCTCTTCTCTGCCCCAAGCTTAATCCCATTTCTGGGGCCTTAGCCAACATATATCCAGACCATGCTCTGTGAAATGAACTACATGGTCTAGGATAACTCCAACAGCTGCATGGAATTTACTTTTCCCAGGTTTCTAGCACCTAAATGAGGAGCAAGCAAGTGCTGTACCTCCCAGTCCAGAACAGAGGCCTGCCACTGAGCTATCTTGTCAATGTTCTCCAGTCTCCGCTTCCGCTCGTTGATCTGGAGGGTCACGTTCCTCATGACGGCGAGAGCAGCAGCCACATACCTGTAGTCACTGTTGGACACAAAAGAGAAGTTCATTAACTGGAGCCTGCTGTGCAGAGGAAATGCACAGGAGTCTGGCCATCCCACCATCCTTTTAGAAAGAAGTACAGGTAGGACTTGCCAGTCATTATTATGACACCGTGCTTTTGCCATTAGCAATATCTTTGTGGGCCATCACACATGAGCAGCTTCCTTGAAGCTGGAACTGTGTGTGTATGAGGCAGAGGAACCAGGCAGCTCCTCCCAGCCCAGCTGCTACCAACCCAACCAACAGCAGCTTTGGATACTGCTCTTTCAAGCCTTAAGGTGCTCAGCTGAAGAACATCTTAAAGTCTGAACATTTTTATAGCCTATTATAAAATGAACATTATAAAATATTTTTCTGTTAGACAAAAGGCTGGAACCCCTTCCAAGCCATAAGGTGACTCCAAGAGTGCCCCAGAGCATTTGTCCCATGGCATTTGCTCTTATTGCAGATTTCAGGTGAGCAAATCAAAGCAATTCTTTATTTCTGTTGTGTTTTTTTTTCTTTCTTTCCCCTGGACAGGCCTGGGACTGTAATAACAAAGAGTGCAAATAGCCTCCTGCCAGGGCCAGCAAAGCTGATGATCAGTCTTTTCAAAAAGTGATGCTGAAATCAATGCTATTGATTCCTGCCCTGTGCCTTCTCTTCCATTCCAAGGAACCTTAATGTTCATTTCAATCGGAAAGACAGACAAGGCCAGCTGCCATAATACCACCACAATATATTATTAACTTAAGGGTTGATATTGATTGCTGACTAATGAGAAAAACTGTGATCTTGGGCAGCTGCAGGGCAAATGACTTTATTGATTATTGCTAAGAATTGCACTGGTGACAGCTAAAATAGGGGTGAATGCTGTGAATTGGATCCATTTCCCCATGTGATCCAAACAGGATAAATATTAATAAATCACAATATGCTATAGAACAGAATATTATTTGCTATTTTGCCATCCTTTCTTGGATGAAATCTTGAGATCCATTTTCAATTTTTGTTCACTTACTACATCAAAATTCTAGCTGAGATTTAAAAAAACCCTACAAATTCCAGAACATCAGGACTGATCCTTCTACACAAGTAAAGGAGAAGAGAGGATGGGCTGTCTGACATATCCATCATGATAGACAATGAAGAATTTCTTGTATCTTCCTTTGTGGTGCCATCTGTATGAGGTGAGTGCCTGGTTGTGTGAGGGAGAAATGGAACTAAGCCAGAGAGACCTTCGTCTGGTCTTTAAAATGTCCAGGAGTTCTTGGAGGGAAACAGGTAAGTCACTACAGCCAGAAAGGATCTGTAGAGGTAGGGAGAGGTGTAGGGTTCAGAGACAGCCACAAATAATCCCCCAGCAGTTATGCTTGTGCAAAGAAAGGAGGCTAATGTCAGTCCACCCTGTTAGCATGAGTCTCCTCTTCCTCATATGCACTTAACTCCAGATCAGTTCTGCAGCAAGAATGCTCAGGACACCAGTAAGCTGCACTTAGGACCTTCATATATTTAATTCACATTAAGCTGGAGTAAATCTTCAGGAGGTGAACAGATGTGGCTTTGTGAAAAATTCAAATGAAGCAGTCTCAAAACAACAAGCAATTGAAGGGATGCAGGCTCTGAAAGCACTTCCATGCCTGCCTCCCTGCAGAGGGGGCTGCTGCCAATCGAGATGGGGTTTGTCTTGGTAATGGTAACTGACTAATTCTGATGTTCTGTTTGAAGAGAAAACCCCATGCACTTTTTTTATTTCACACAGTAATGGAGAAACTGTTTGAAGAGAAAACCCCATGCACTTTTTTATTTCACACAGTAATGGAGTTGTGACTAAACTTTTTGGGCTCCTAGCCCATGTCTGTGGCAGAGCTGACAAAAAGCTTAGAAATAAAAAACAAAACCAAGCAAAGCAGTTGGCCAGTGACATAATAATAGGATAGCATTAACAATGAAATTAAGGTAAATAAATTTTGTCAACTATCCTGGGGCTGCAATGACCTCTTCCCAGTGCTCAGGCAGAATGCAAGTCTAGACTCTTGCCAAATACCACATTTTAACTTGGGGGAGAGTGGTGAAGTTTCTGGTTTCAGCTCTGGTGTCCTGACCTGGTACAGGGAAGATCTGTCACTTAACATCCAAAAAGAAAAAGGAATGTACTCCCAAAATAATTCAACCCTTGTGTAATCACTGTCCACATGCCCTTTGAGGAGAAGGTAATTTTAAACACAGTTTAACTCAGAGAAGGTAATTTTAAACACAGTTCTCTCCTCTCTGAGGCTGATCATGTCTCCCCACTGTAAAGCTGCATCTGAATTCATGCTCTAAGTACTGTGGGGATGTCACATGGCTGGTAAGGAGAAAAAACCCACAACATTTGGGATCCCAGAGCCAGTTTCTTTTGCCCTCACATTCCCATGAATCCACTTCAAGTTTAATTTGGTCTCATTATGAAGGGAAAACCAGAAATTGGATCTGGAGCCAAATGCATGGCCAAATTGGGGATTTTGAACTGGGCATTCAGCTGCTCTGAATCAGTCAGAATCGGTCTGCTCATGGCACGTCTCCTTGCACTTCTAGAGCTGAGGTTGGGGAAAAATCAAACACTTGCAGAAGTTTCTGAAACTTTTGTGGTCTTTTCTGTTCTCTGAAGCACTTCCTTTTTAATGGGTTTGAGAAAAAGAATATTGGAAAGGCATGAGAAAGTCTACTCTTAGGGGTCTGATTCTTCTTTAATCTTGTATTCATAGCAGTGTATCACAAGTGACACCATAGGTACCATTCCTGATTTACATTAGGTCAGGGAATCAGGTTGATTGCCCTCAAAAGTAACAGAGGAAATCCTGGAAACCTTGGGAAGCTTAATCTAACTGCTGGGTGCTCCTCTGAATCTAAGGCCAATAGCAAAATTAGAGATGGAGTCAGGTGAAAAGCAGAGGAGGTTCTGAATTCTCTCCAGACCTGAGCATATCCAGGTTTGAGCTGCAGATCCGGGACCTCTACTTGCTATATGCTGAAGTCTTCTTCAGGACAAAGGAATGAGCCTTTCCAACCACTGACTGCTAATTAGGGAATTTTTCTAGTGTAACCAGTAGCATCAGAAAGTACGTTCAAGGGTAATTAGTTCACAGTTTATAACCGAGATGAGTTTGGCTCCATTGAGAACTGGTGCTTTGAAAAGATTTCAAACTGTGTGCTGACCCTTTGCCCTCTGTCCATTCATACAAGATGTCATGAAGAGAAGAGCTGGACAGAAAAAAGCCCAATCCCTGGGTGTATGCCAAGGCCACATGGAGAAGCAGTGAGTGAAACCCCCCATGCCCCCAGCTCCAGGTGTACCTGTGCTCCTGCGCCGTGTACTTGAGGAGCTCTGCCAGCTGCAGGGGGTACTTGCAGATCTTCTGCACTGGCGTCAGCAGGATCCCGTCGATGGCGATATCGATCATCTGCTGCAGCAGGCGGCACGCTTCGAAGAAATGCTGGTACCTGCTGTCCTTCATCAGCTTGGAAAGCTCCATGCATGCATCCAAATGATTGTTACAGTACTCTGAGTAGATCCAGAAGCCATCTTGCTGTGAGAGGCAGGAGAAAAGGGATGGAGACACAGGGGAGCACACGTCAGACAAGTGCTGCGAGCAGTCAAGCACCTGACTCGCCAACAAGAACATGTTACAGCTCAAAAAGAAAGACTATCCTGATCAGGAGGAGGAAGGAGTTTTCCTGCTGGGGGGGGATGCTGCATAATTGCTCTGGTGGAAAAGGGAGGCACTGAGGGACCTACACACTGAGCCATCACTGAGATCTTGGTAGGAACAGGGTGTGTTAGGGTGAACCCCTGCAGTGTTGGGGGTGTCCTCAGTTTCACATTGTATGTGGGGGTTTCCTTATAAAAGGTAAAGGCAGAAACACGCAGAGCTCTGGTCTTTGGTTATACAAGACAAGAACCTTGCTACTTCTAGAGCACTTTCCCTGAAACATCAAGAAGCACCCAGCAAGTGTTAGGGAGCTGGGTATATCTGACATACCTTTTACTGTCGGGATCCCAAAGGACCAAATGCTGGGTGGATTTCCCCAGGACCAGAGAGCTAGAAACCACCAAAGGGCCCAGATAATCAGCCTTCCTGACCATCTGTCTCTTCCTGAAGCAGATAAGGAACAAGAAGCTTTGCAGATCCATATAATAGGATCTCCTTGTCCTCATCCCTCAGTTTCCCCAAATGGCTGAACAGGGATAATTTATCAGGAGTTTATTAGCCAGCTTTCAGTTCCTATCTGATGACAGATAAGTGTCAGATATTCCTCTGAATAACAGTAGTAATTCTTACTCTTGTCACTATAAATGAATTGACAGCACAGCCTCAAGACATTAAGTTTTAGCTGCTGATTCTCACCAAGAGTAGCTTATTCTCACCAAGATTTCTTACATCATTTTTAGCACAGGGTGGAATACGATGCTGCTTTGGAAGCAAGCAGCAGAGCTTGCAGGCTCTGATAAAAATGAGCAATGTTAAGATCATCATGCAACTGCTCAAAAAGAAACCTGATTCTCAATTAGAAGACCAATGATGCTAAAGAGATGTTGTGATCCTTTCTAGAGATGCCCTGAAGTTTCATGAATGTCTGTCAGAAATTTCTCTAATCAGTGAACTGTTTCCAGCTCAGCCCTGACTGCAGGCAAGGAGGTAACAGCAGAACGGTCTGCATCCCGGGTCAGAGCCCCTCACACATAAGCTCTGAGACAGCACTCCATCCTCCCTAAAGGAAAACCCAGACTGCAGGACTATAATTTTCTTGACATTTCCTGACACATTTACAACACTGGCCAATTTACCAGCTCCTGCAGTATGTGGCTTATGTAACTGTATGATGGGCTGGGCAGAAGCCTCCAGGACTGTAGCATCAGCTAAAATGTCCTGTTCAGTGTGCATTTGGTGTGAGCAAGGATCTGCTGCCCTGCTGCCACCTGGGCAGCAAAAAGCACAAGCTGGCACCTCCCTGCCCAGCTCAACAGCTCTGCAGGGGAAGATAACTGGAGCTGTGTGAGTTGTTTAGCCCTTGCAAATCAGTGCCACAGAAAACAACCTGGGCATTTGCTCTCCTCTGCTTCTTTTTTTAACACACAGCTAAGGCCTTTATTCACTTCTCTAGACACTATTACTTCTTCCAACCTTCTGGTCACCCATAATCTGATTTGGGTGGTCTGTGAGTGGGTTTAAGTCACATTTGAAGATCAAAATAAGGCAGGGAGTATGTGGGGTCCCTTTACATACTTAACATGAGTAAGGAGAGACGTGAAAAGGGGTTGGGATTCACATGTACTGGGGCAGTTATCCCAAACCCTTTTCACATGCCCCCTTAGTCTGAATGTTGTTTCACTTCAACTCCTCCCTGCACCTCTATCTCACAAAGTAAAAAGCAAGCCATGGAGTATTCTGCAATATGCAAGTAGAGCATTCCTGATGCACAAAAGTTACTCTGAGTGGTTTCTGCCTCCTGACTTTTTCTGCTATTTCTCTCCTGCCCCCTCCCAAAAAAACAACCTCAAAACTCCTGAACAAAATGCCAAATGAACTCACGTGTTCAAGGAAACATGGTCCAATTTCACTAAGATGGGGGTCCTCATTGTTGTACTGTTTCTCCAAGTCCCGGACAAAACCCATCTGAAATCTGTAGATATCTTCAATGTTACCAAAGATGATCTTTAGCTGTTCATCACTGAACATATCCCTCCTCTTCCGGCACTGCTTTAAGTAACCCTGTAAGGAGTTAAGACAGAAGACTCCATAAAATAACCCCAACACTTACACTGAGGCTGCTCCCAGATCTGTCTTGAGGAAGGAGCAGGTAAAATCATAAAATGGCTCTGACAACAAAATCCACATGTTATGACATGACAGTCTCCTTCAATTCCTGTCCGTGAGCAAGCACACAATCTGCAATACATGCCTTGATAAGCTATAGGTTATTTTTTGATAGACAACATCTAATTGGTAACTGTTGGTCCCACTGTGACCTACAACAGAGCTGCAGCACAACTGTTGCTGAGGACACAGCAGCATGCTTGGGGCTTCCCAGCCTGCCTCAGGAGGTGCTGGAGACAGCACGTGGGCAGTGTGCTGGGATCTGCCTCAACGTCCTGCAGCATTTTGCATGAATCTGTTTTACAAAGGGAAGGTTCCCCAGAGACCTCAACCAGAACAGCCTGAAACAGTTCCAGCCCTACCTGTGCTGCAGAGAACTGCAAAATCTGGCTGATGGCCCCAAAGAGGAGTGTTACAGACCTGTCTGCCTGTTCCTACAGAAGCCACTGCCTTGCAACCCCCACTGTTCTGGGTAGCTCCTACAAACCCTGCAGGGGCACATGCAGAGAAAGCTGTGAGGGGCTGTTTGATAATCTGCCCACAGATTTCTCCTTTTAGCCAGAGTAATCAGGAGAAGGGAGCTGATCATCATGCTGAGAAATAATTTTATTACTGTGTGGCTGCATGTTCTTGGTCTAGGAGCAGGGTGTGGAGGGGTAACCATTCTAGTTGTTTTAGCACCAAGTGAAATGGTGAAGGAAAGTGTTCTTCAAGCATTTCCTGAGTTAGGAGGCAACATGGTTTGTCCCCCGACTATTAAACTGCCTGAGTCTGAGAGAGAAGCAGGAAGGCTGCTGCCCTGGGAGTGCCCTGCCAGGAACCCCAAAGGTGATGGTGAAGGCTGGGGAGGTGGCCTGGCCAAGCCGAGCCAGGGAACAGTGGTGTGAACAGCCCGAGCTGCTGATCGATGCCACCTAGAGGAAAACAGCATTATTTTAATTTTGTTTTCTATACCCTCCATTCCATTAGCACAAAGATGCTATTCCAAAGTGTAAAACAAGAGAGATGTTTTCTCCTGGTCTCTCAGACATCACCTTTCATTGCTTTTCTTCCTTTTCTAAGTGGGACCAGAGGAAAAGGCCCTACACTTCTCTGCACAAACATCAGACTCCTTTAAAGTCTAGAGACATTAAAGTCAAATGGAGAAAGAAAGAGGAAGAACTGGGATGAAGAGAATTTAAGGAAATTCTCCAAAATCACAGAATAAATCTGCAGTAGCTTTGGAACCAATTCAAATCTCCTGTGTCGCAGCTCAGTGCAATAATAAAAAGATCCTCCTTGCTCATCCTTCATCTGCCCACGATACCCACTGGTGCAGAGCCCGAGCTTCTCTGGACACCATACAAGCACAAACTGGTAAGCAAGCACTGCTCTGAAGACCTCCTGACCTGAAAAGACAATATTCTGGCAGAAAGTGTAACACACCAAGTCCTGCCTGCCTTCCTGTTTTGGTGACCCTGCCTTATCCACGGACTCACCATCCTGGTTTCAGCTGAGGCGTGAGGACTTCTGCCAACATGCTTGCTTGAAGCACACGTGGTCCAGGGGAGGAGGTGACACACACAGGCTCTGGTTGCTGAATTTTTGCCTCTGCTACCAACCTGTGTGACATTGAATAAATCACTCCATCCCCCCTGCGCTTCACCTGTCTGGATGATTTAGACTAGAAACATTTTAAGGCCCAAATATCAGATGCTCTGCTGGCCTGGCCTGCAGCCTCTTGACTGCAAAGAAATAACATGGGAGTCACATGAGATGACTTTGCCTGCCTTTATTACATAGGAAGAGAAAAAATGAAGGGAAAAAAAGCCAACAGCTCCAGTTGCATGGCTATATTTGGGAACTCTAGATGCTTAGTCATACAGACCAACCAGCAGCTGGTGACACGCAGCTGCTGGTCCACAATGCAAACTCTTGGAAGGCTATAATAAACTGTCCTTCAGCCTCACCATGTGGTTGCTGGGAGGAAGAACTTCAAACAGATGAATGATAAATGCAACTTCGGCCAACCTGGCAAAGAACCAACCTCTGGGATGTCCAGCTCAGTTAGAAGGATGCTGATACCCTGAGTTTGCTGGCTTTTTTCAGGTGGGAAGCTTGGGTTATGGAATACCTTCTGCCTTTACTAAATCTAGGTCTCTCTTTTTCCAGGAGCTCCTTGATGACTCATTTTCCTGGGTTTCCCTCCCTCATTTTTCAAGGCCAGGAGGAATGGGAACAGGCTGGTTCCCACGCTGCAGGAGAGGTGCAGGGAATATAAAAATTCAAATTAGCAAGGAATATTGCAGAATATTCTGTCCCTGCTGCTTTTTATGTTTACCTGCTTATCTCAGAACAGCTTTCAAAACAAAAAAGAAAAAAGAAGTGCACCTCCCCAGGAGGTCAGGCTTTTCTTGACACTGGCTTTGGTGCTTTAGAGTGCCTCAAGGCATCTGTGTTAGGACCTCAGCCTGCAAGCCAGCTCCTCTCTCGCATGGGGTTCTGTGAAATCTGATGATTTATGTGAACATCTTTCAGCCCTGGGGTTGCTATTGGCTGCCACTACTGTCCTGGATATTCCTCATCCTCCCTGTGCTGGTTCATCACTTTGCCTTAGCCACGTGTTCTGCAGAAGCTGAAGCAGCACATTTCTGTACAGGCACCTATAAAACCAGTGAGAAAATAAAAGAATGGGGTTCCCAAGCCTTATTCTCTATCCAGCTTCTGTGTTTCTTTCCAGCACAAGCCAGCAAAGGGGAGACCAAAGATGTATATGTGATATGCAGCAAGAGCCAGCTAGAAGGCTGCTGCGTAGTTTTTCCAGTAAATTTACTTCTGTTACATAAAACAATGTCATCTTCCTTCTGCTCATCCTGTCAAGTTTGCTCAGAGAAGGGATAGCTGACTGAGGAGCAGATGTTGGAGTGTGTTTTGCTCAATGAATACCTAAAAATAGCTGTCAAACTGTCTCACTTTAAAGTACTTTTCCATGTAGTCCCTGAAGCATAGGCCAAAGTTGGGAAGTATCTGCAGGAGGTTAAGTGCTAAGTTTTCTCAACCCCAGAGTTGGTTTAGAGACAGCCAGGAGAGGTAGCCAGCTATCAGAACACTGTTCTCTAAAGCAGCACTCACAGTGCCCAGGTGAGCATCGTGCTGATACCCACACACCAAAAATAAGTACAACAACAAAGCTGAGACTGAATTGAGAAGATAATCTAGAGCCATGTCTGGTCATAGGCAGCCAGGACTCTAAAGCACTTACTCAAATCTCAGGCTACAGCACGTGCTGAACACCAGGCACTGTGATGGTACTGAGGCCCACCTAAAACACCCAGTAAAGTCCTGCAGGAACACAAGCTTGTTCCTAAAAAGGGCAAGAAGCAGCCAGCTCCAAACCAGAAAAACCAGGTGTGCACAACCAAGCTGTGAAAGGCAGCTACAAATTCTGCTCTGGGGAGTACATTTACATAGTATATATATCCAAAGAGTTCCTGCAGAACCACCCTCCCATCTGATATCCATGGATGAGAAACTTCCCATACAAAGGGGCCAGCAGCTATTTCCTGCCAAGGTTTTATGCTGCTCTGCTCTGTGGCAGCACAAAAAAAGGGGGTTTTCTCAGTCTCCAAGAAAGAGTCAAGGTAATGCCACACAGACCACAGGGAAACTTCTCTCCTCAGCTCTGCACAACAGACACAGCTTGACATGCAGCATTCAGAGCTGCTCTGGCACCAAAGCAAAGCTTAGGTGGAATCCACTCAACATTATTAAAAAATAAATTCAAAGTGAAATTACTTGGAAAAGAGCAAAACACACCACTGGAAGCTGTCTGGCCTTTCTAACCTCCCACCTCCAGATTACTCATAATACAGAGGTTTCCTTTGATCTCCAATTGCTTCCCTTTTCCCATCCAAGCTCTGTCTCTTCTCCCTTTAACACCTCCTTACATTTAGCCTTGTCTTCCTAATCCTACTGGTTTCTCACACCACAGCACCCCTCTCTTTGCAGTCCTCCTGCACCACCTTCCACCTGCACTCCCTCCACACCACCTTCCACCTGCACTCCCCCCACACTCTACAGCTCAAGGCACCTTCTTGGCCCACTGCTCCCCCAGAGGTGGCTGTCCTGACCCAGCACCTCAGCTGCTCTGATGGTTCCACACCATGGAGAGACCCTGTGCCCTCCTGCATCCTCCCAGGACCAAAGGAGATTTCCAGCCTGGAGATGCCCATGTGTAGATGTGGGGCTGTACAGGACAGTGAGCAAGCAGCACTGCCTGCCAGGCAGGCTGGCTATTGCTGCCCAGTACAAAAGCCTAGTTTTCAGTGGCTTAGTGTTTCTCTAAGCTTTAACTGCTAAGCCTGAAATTCTTATTGGTGAGTATTTCCTTAAGGCTAAATTAGTTTTTCTTTCTTTTCCCCTTGGTCATATATTTCATAATAATGATCCACTCTTGATAATGCAGTCCAGGGGAAGCTCCACATTCTACCCTAATAAAAATCTCCACAAAACTGTTTCACCAAGCAGCAATCAGTCTTTCCCACCCTGAGCCAGGGCAGAGTAGGAGCAGTCAGGGCAGGATGACTTCGCTGTGAGGGGGAATCCCCCTCCTAGCCAGCTGCTTCACGCAGGTCTTTGCTTGTGCAGGTAATTTTCATTCTGGTGCTGCCCAGCTTTTGAGTTCCTGACTTGGCAGGACTAGTGCCATGGGTATTATGAATAATAATACAGTGTATAATAATACAGTAGCAGGTAGTGGAAATACATTCTGAAGCAGAAAAGAGCAATTGGAGGGCTCTTAATCACCTAGCAGGGGCTACAGTCCTCTGATAATAACCACACATCTTAAGGTGCCTCACTGGTACTAGGATTTGTTATTCATTTTAGCTCAGCAACAAGAGCTAACTACATGCTACTAAACTCAGTATTAAATCAGCCTCAACTCTCACCACCCAGCCAGCACTCCCCTTTCATCCCTTCCAATGGGTCCTATCACTGCTGTTTGTCCTGACACCTCCAACTAAAGAGCAAAGGGAGAGGGGAATTTGCCGCTGTCAACAGCACTTCTTCACCTCAGTAGCAGTTGTCTGGTGTTGACTTGTTCTTTGGCACAAGTAACACCTCTGCTCAAATCCATCCATAGCACTGGGAGGAGCTCAAGCTGGCCTGTGTCCCTCCATTTCCAGCCTCCTCCCCTCATGCACAAACAGGAACAGTCACGTCCTGCTGTGCCAAAGTGACTGGGATGACTGAGCTGTCTCTCAGCCTTCTTGAGGCAAATGAATTGCCCTGATTAAACTGAGCACAATGAGGCTCTCTCCAGCAAGGGACAGCCCATCCTTTTGCAGCTGAAAATGCCCGTATCAGTCCTCCTCAATCTTTAAGAGAGGCAGCTGAACCTGGAGGCAAGATTTATCCCCTCAATACCATTTTGCATCATACAGAGCAAGGCAAGAGCCTTAGACATCTCTTTCATATCTGGGACATATTGGTAGGTGCTGTGCATCAGTGTTACCCACAGATCTCACTGAAGCTGTCCCTGTCTGCTCCTCCTGAGAACCTGATCTGGCAGAACCATGGTGACATGGTTGGGAAACACAAGGTCAGGTGTGTTTAGGTTTTTAACAGAAAAGTGCAAATGCAGAAAAAGAAACAATCTGTGGAAAAGTTCCCGCAGTTTCTTCCCATCTTCAATACAAAGCCCTCTGACTGAAATAGCACAGTGAAATTAAGCTCATTTGTTTCCCAGTTGAAATCCCAAGACTCTTCTATATTTGAAAAGCATCACAGATGCCTTTTGGATGCTTTGCCTTGTCAATTGAAAAGTAACAAGCATGAAAGGAGAAAGACATTTTTCTAAGCAGAATTCACAAGGGGCTTCAGCACATTGACTCTGCAAAGAGTGGGCACAGGCTCCCTCAATCCTGAGCAATCCGAGGGATGAGCTGAAGCCCATGGACTTTGATTTTAAGTGCTAACAAACTTCTGCCTCTTTGCAACAAGAATTTGCTCTCCACACAACACCCAAGCTGTCCTGCAGCCATGCATTCCCTAGCCCCCAACTCCCAGCACCACATGCATCACACTTTGGGCTTAGCTTGTGGCAACAGATCTGTCACTGCAGGACAGGGAGGGGATATAGTGACTAATTGTAACATAATGAAGAATCATCAAGTTCAGGATGTGAGGGGTCATTTGCTTGCAGGTTCCCTTATGCTGCATAAATGCAACATGCTTCGTTTTGCTCGGTGAAACACTTCCCTCCCAGTCTCACAGTAAGAAAAGGGAAATGGGGGCCATCTTCAGCCAGGGGAAACTCTGAACCCAGTGTAAAAGAGAGAGATGAAATGGGTAACTGATCGGTTTAATTACAAGCTAATTTCCTCAATCACAAGTTCAAAAGTAGATGGCACTGGATTTTAATTGAAGGATCTCAACCTCATCGTTTTTTAGTCAAGAGATATGGGAAGAAAGTCAGAAAATTGTACTTTCAGTTAATATGAACTGAAGGTAATTATGAGATCCAGCAGAAAATTCTCAGACGTATCAATACTTATTGACAGATGCTGCTCCTCTGTTAGACACACCACTTAAATACGCCGTGTCCTTTTCCCCCATCACCCCCATGTCCTGCTGCAGTACCACAGCACTACAACCCCCACGTACCTCACAGATGTCCTTGAGGTGCTTGATGTAGTGGCGCTCCGTGCTCATGATTTCATTGATGACGTTGGCTCTCATCTGGTCTCGGTTCTGAACGGTCCTGCCGAGACAGAGGCAGTCGGCGCTTGGATCCAAGTGGCCATTCTGCACATCGCTGGTTCCCTCCTCCACTCCATCTTCTTGGTTTACCCATAGCTGTGAGAAGAGGGGAGAGCAACAGGCTCATTCACAAAAGCTTTAAGAAGCCAGTGAGTCAAAGCAGGCTGGGTCTTGGGTTGCATGACTCTGGGAGCTGCTGGATGACTCCCTCCTACAGCAACAGTGATGCCCTTGCCAGTGACACTCATGGTGTCCACAAGAGCTTATGGCCCAGACAGTCCATTTTTAAACTGGTGCAACAAGCCCCAAACCATTCCCCACACACTGCCAAGTCCTTCTTGTAAGCAAAGGGATTTCAACTGTTGACAGTTTTGATCCCAAATAGAAAATAACCATGTGAAAGGGTAACAGACTGTTGGATGTTCTCAAGTGCTCTGAACTAAGATGAACATACATAAAATAGACTGACATAAAGAGAACTGCAGTGACTGGTGTGAAGCACTGCTTGTCCCAGTGCCCATACACCATCAGTTAGATCTGTCCCAAGAAGAAGGAACCTCTGGGAGGAGGGATAAGCCCTTTAAGAAGGTCAAGAAATGTCTGGCTCAGAAATCCAAATGAATGGGACCATCAGCTCAGACTAAGTGGGCTGTGGCACTGAGTTTTCTATGAACTGCCCTGGCCAAGACTGATGAATAAACATTGATTTTCGTTTCACAGCAGCCTTCCTCATCATTTTGCATGAAGAGCCTTTCATGCTCAGGCAAATGTCCTGTCTCAGCATCTTGAGATTGTGATCCCAAGCCCCACTGAGATCAGACTGGCTGAAAAAATCTTCTAAAAACTGGGGGAGCGAGGGCAGCTTGTGCCAAGCACCCCTGGACACTGAATACTCTACATGGCAACAAATTGTAAAAAGCAGTGAAAAAGGACCACTGCAGTTTCAGCACACTGTTACTGCAAAAAGGTCTTCTGCAGCTTTCCCAAAACCAAGTTCCATGACACTCCTGCTGCTTTGACAACAGAGGATATTTTTAAAGCTCTGCCTCCCAGAGTCAAGTGATGAGGAGAAAAATTTCAATTTTCATTTAAAAAAATAAAGCAGGAAAGATCTAGTCATAATAGTAGGGGGTGAATCTTGAAAGTATGAATCCTAAAGGCTCTGAAACTCTAAGGCAAACAGCAAGTTTGCAAACTTCAGTGATTTCTGAAAACCTCAGCATTTGGTCTGCCTTTTGTGCACTGCAGGAACAGTCCTGCCTTCTGCATCTGGGAATCTCAGGAGTCCTGCTTTCTTCCTTAATGAAATTTTTGCTCTTTTCTGCTAGGATTCATGTTCCCAAAAGGGAAAAAAAAATACAGTTCTAGTCTAGATGACTTCTGCTTAAAGAAAAAACAAATGGAAGCATTTTATTGGTAACACTGAGATCAGACTGGCTGAAAAAATCTTCTAAAAACTGGGGGAGCGAGGGCAGCTTGTGCCAAGCACCCCTGGACACTGAATACTCTACATGGCAACAAATTGTAAAAAGCAGTGAAAAAGGACCACTGCAGTTTCAGCACACTGTTACTGCAAAAAGGTCTTCTGCAGCTTTCCCAAAACCAAGTTCCATGACACTCCTGCTGCTTTGACAACAGAGGATATTTTTAAAGCTCTGCCTCCCAGAGTCAAGTGATGAGGAGAAAAATTTCAATTTTCATTTAAAAAAATAAAGCAGGAAAGATCTAGTCATAATAGTAGGGGGTGAATCTTGAAAGTATGAATCCTAAAGGCTCTGAAACTCTAAGGCAAACAGCAAGTTTGCAAACTTCAGTGATTTCTGAAAACCTCAGCATTTGGTCTGCCTTTTGTGCACTGCAGGAACAGTCCTGCCTTCTGCATCTGGGAATCTCAGGAGTCCTGCTTTCTTCCTTAATGAAATTTTTGCTCTTTTCTGCTAGGATTCATGTTCCCAAAAGGGAAAAAAAAATACAGTTCTAGTCTAGATGACTTCTGCTTTAGATGAAAAACAAATGCAAGCATTTTATTGGTAACAGAGGAAACCAAATATGCCTTCTGCCCAGTGCTCACCAGCCTCAGCTGCTGAAAGAACTGATTCCCCTGTGCTGTTCCAACACTCCTGCTTTTTGTCTTTATCTCTGAAGTTCCCCATAATTCAAGCAAGGACCATTCTTCCATAGGATCATTTTAAGTGTGGACCATGATTCACAAAAGATGAGGCACACTGGCAGCTCTGCTGCTGACCTTGGGCCAATCCCTTTAACTACTGGAACCTTTTGCCATCCATAAACAGGGACAGTCTACTTTACCAGTGACATCTTTCACGAACATTTTTGAGGTAGACAGACTACACTGAAGATAAGGGCATAGAACAGCTCATGCACACTTTGAAATATGGACTGAAATGCATCACTGTGGGTTCACCACACTCCTGTACTCAGCCATAAGTAACAATGTGGCTAGATGGACCTTTGGTCTGATGCAGCATGGCTGTTTTTGCAACTTCAGCTCTCAAATCCTCTTGTGCCCAGGCTGAGAAGGAGCCGGGCTGTGCTGGGGCAAGAGAAGGCTGTGCCTGAAGTGTTAATTTTGTCCTCTGACCCACCACCCCAACCCAGATCCTCTCTGCTTCACTGACCTGCTCGCTCAAACTACAAGGACAGTGTGCTGCAGGTGACAGGGAGGTGGAAGAGGCAGACTGGGGGTGACACCAGGGTTTTTTTCCCAGTAACTTTTTAAATGTCATATTTCGTTGGTTTAGACAATGCTGCCAAGGTCCCAATTTTAGCCCAGTCCACAGTCACCTGTAAGTAGGGTGTTGAAGACACTCTCTAGCCTGAAAGGCTTGGCCTCGGTTGCTGTGGGTAGCAGCTGAGATACCCCTCATATAAGAAGGGCTCTCTACTCCCTAGCTTTTTTTTTTAAAAAAAGAAACTTCAAAACTCTGGGGTTTGCCCATGTTCACCTCATCTCCCCAGTCTTCCCTGCTCAGGATAAGTGGAAAGCTCCTAGGTGGCTTTCCACAGAGCAGAAGTGGTACTTTGGTTCCCCACCAGCTTCAGCCCTGCCACTCAAGAAGTCCCTCAAGGCTCCTGTCCCATGTGAGGTGGCTTGGCACAGATGGGGCTTAGGATCCCAGCCTGAGTTACTGCATCCAGTGCCACTTTTTAAATAAAGAATAAACAATAACAGCTGTTCAGCAATCAACAACAACCCTACAATAATAAATCAGCCTTCAGGGCCTTTTGGAACACCTCTGCAATGCAAGAGAGCAAGGCTCTGAAACCATACAGCACTGAGTGGGTCTCTCCCACACCATTAAAAGGTCCAGTGTGCCCAACAATGGAGCCTGCCCTGGGAGCTATTTCAAATGCTTTGTGTTAAGAATTAACTAAGTGAAACTATGAAAAACTGGAGGGAGAAAAAATTCAAGTTGCATAGTGCTAGTCCTCAGTGATGTTTCACACTGAAAGGCCACCCTACATGTGGAGGAGAAGAGGCTTATGATGAGGCTCACAGTCCTATTTTGAAATTCAACCCTAATCAGGAAGTCATGACCAGCTCCTGCATAACGTAATAACTTGCAGAGGCAGATAAAAGTAAAATAGCCAAATAAAAAAGCCCCTTTTGCCTGAGGACCCAGTTCTGGGAGCCAGAGAGAGTTGCTCATTTCATTGTGCTAGTTAGTATTATATGTGATTTATATAAAATCTGTAGAAATGTGATGTATCAATTTGCAGCTATACCCAAATGGTGCATAAAAGCACCAAATGGCACCATTCCAACATTAGCTGACCTGTAATTATTATATATTTAGGCTGATGAATACATACACTGTACATAGAGGACATTTTACTTGAATAGGCACTGAGGGCTGATAAGTCTCGTAATAATCAGAAAGCCTGATAAAACAAACATTTCACCAACCATCTGGATTATTAATCTCCTTCCACTGGATATTCACAAGGACAAAACTAGCAGATAATGTGCCATCCTAGATTCTAGCTCACAAATAAATAATGTGGCAGCATAATAACACAGACCCTTCCAGAGGGCTGTTGCCATTGCACTGAATGTCTGCTCATCAGCAACTTTGTAACAAATACCAGGTGAACAGCACAACTTTCACCAAAAGCTGGTACCAGACTGGGGCTCAGTGTCACCAGCCCTGCAACAATTGCAAGGGAGTGTAGGAGCCTTCGATAACCCTTATCTCTGCTGCAGCAGAGATAAGACAGAGACTCAGGACTCTCTTGCCCACCTTGCCACACTGTCCTGCTCAGCAAAGCAGCACCAGAAGCTGCATGGTTTGCCCCTCTTCTTACTTTCCCAAGCTGGTGGTTAACTAGTGCTATGCCTTTGTTTTCAGCCACAGGCAGCAAACTAGATCATGCTCTGTTGGACTCTATACTGGATTAAAAAGATCACTTGCTTATTTGCAATAAAGCAGGGCTTGTGGTGTAGAGCTTTGCAGAAGTAACAAAGCATCAATTTCTGCGTGTCAGCCCAGTGATCCGGGCACAGCATCTCTCTGCCCTCAGGAGGAAACACAGACTGTTCTGGGTTCTACAAATGCCCACAAGCAGATGCTTCTCCCTTTCTGCCTTCAGAGAGGAGGTGAGGACCTGGCAGGTGGCAAGAGGCCCAGGGCTGCCCTGGCCAGTCCTGGCCTTGCTGCCCTTCTGCAGGCAGGCTGTGGGCACAGGGCAAGTGCTGGACTGGGATGCTGTTCACTGGGAAATACAGACCATCTTCTTCCTGGTATCCTCTGCCAAGATGAGGAATAGGCATTTGGCAGTAGAAGGAAAGACAGTTGAAGCCATTTGTTTTTCCCTTCTGTGGTCCTACTACTATTTTCTCCCACAGTCTGAATTTTGCTTCTGTAATCTGGCTCTAGGCTTACGGTCCTTCGCTTTTCCTCCTGCAACTCCCCAGCTTCAGCAAACCCACTTCCAGCTCTTCCTTCCCCTCTGAAACTCTCCATTCCCAACCTCAGAAGATCCCTTTACCCAAGGTGAGAAATACTCCTCACTCATTTTTGGAAAAGGAGAAAACAAACAAGTGTACTTGATAGAACCAGCTTCAGACTCTGCATCCATGAGAGGTGAACAGAAATGGCTCCAAAGAACATGCCCTGGGCTTCCTCTGTGTCCTGCAGCCTAATCAGCACAGACTCCCAGGGGCTGGAGCTCCACCACGTATCATCTGGCAGAAGATGCAAGGGCACTGCAATAAACTGGATGTGCTACCAAAATACTGTGAGTTAGGGCTCATCCTCCCCCACTTCCTAAAACCCAAAAAGCCCTGGTGTGTGATGCTACATGTGATACACAATAGGGAAGAGCAAAAGCTCAGCTGCTCCAGGCAGAGGTAGCCTCAGCATCATTCAGGGTAATTACTTCATGAGCAGCTTGGCAGAGGACAGAACAGGACAGGGGCTGTGATGATTTGTGTCTCGTTTGCCTGCTTCAAGAACAACCTCAAAGCACTGGTTTTGTACCTGCAAGCCAGCACGTCCAAGGAAGGACCCAAGTGCCCGCATCTGAACCTTTGGGGACTTGATGGATTCTGAGCTGTCTGAGTGGCACGAGTTGTCACAGCAGCTGCAATTAGCACAAACAGCATTTGGATGCTAAAATGCTGCTTGACTTTTTTAAAAAAACCCAAACCAACCCACAATTAGTCTGCAGTGCATCCTGTCACTGTGGAGTGCTGCTCGCGCTGCGTGTGATACCTCCACCAGAAGCTATTTTTATGCTGGATTTGCCACGGGAGAATAAAATCTCCTTTCCAAGGCACTGACTGCAGCAGCCACTGCAGCACAGACCGTTTTGTTTGTCCAACAGGTGAATGCTACTTCAGCACCATCTTCCTTTCCCTGGAAAACCTCACCTAGGTGTCCCCGTGATTGGCGCTGAGTAAATGCTAATGCAATGGAAGAGCAGGTGAGTGATGTGCTGCTTCCTCAGGATCCTTCCACATACAGTGAGAGTTTTAAGGGAGGGAAAAAGCAGAGAGGACAGCACTGAAGAGTGAAACTGGCCCAGAATATTTCAGTCTCCAAATTAAGCAAAAATATTCAGGCAAGTTTTTCTAATTTAGCCTTTCCAGCCAGCAACATAGCTGAGATGTGCCAGCAACACAGGTGAGAATATTTTCTGCAGTAAGATTATAATCTTGATCACACTCGATACAAATCCGTTTTCCAAACTCATTGTCTCCCCTGGCCATAGGGTCAGACTCCTGGTGTCATGTTCAACAAAATACTAAACACTGTTATTCTGGGCCAGAGGGCCAAAAAACTTTCACACAGGCAGCCCAGGCTTCAGTTCCAGTCACTCATCTCTCACTCTTAGCTCTGGCCAGAGCTAGGAGAGACACAAGAGCTGCACCATGAGTACTGTGGGGGAAAAAAAACTGTGCACAGGGGAGGCAAAAGTGAGCAAAGGGCTGGGTTCCCTCATTGGTGGTCACTGTACTTCACTAGGAAACACCAGGTCATCCGTTTTAACCCAGTTTCCTAATCCATATGGCTGTTTCCCAGATGCAGTGATGTAATCAGAGTTTCAGATGATGCAGGGCTGCCCGAAGGAAGGAGGGTTATGAGGGAGGGTAAGACAGGCAGGGAACCAAAGCAAACGTGGCATCTCCCTGGGGTGCAGCACGGTCTTCAGTGTGTGTTTTGGAGAGAACCATCTTCCCCTCGACTGCCGCAGAGCTTGTCAAATTGCCTGGGAGGCTCAGAGGAAAGAGCCATCTTTCACACAATTTTACAAGGCAAAAGAAATCTTCGGTTTCTGAACTATGTCCCCTAAGCTTCTAAAGGAATTAAATCTCTGATCCCACCTACTGAACCCTGTGCAGAAAGGAGAGGAGAAGGAAGTACACAAGGTCAGAGCCAGGGTCTTGACTCCTCGAGGAAGGCTTGAGAGGACCCAAATAATGTGGCAGGAGCTAACGATATCAAAAAGGGCATCTTCTTGTCCCTTTGCTTTCTTAACACATACTGAGCAAAAAAAATTGAGTGCTCAAATCCTTCTTATTTGTGAAAGGCCAGATTGCCTTTGGAGGTGGCTGGGTACACCGAAGCCAACTTCAGCAGAAAAACAGAGACAAGCAAAATGGTTCCTTAAAAAGGATAACCAGAGCTGGTCACAGACTAATTAGTGAAGTAATTTAACATCTAAAACTGCTGAAGAGTCAAAAGGCAGCACTGCATTTGGAAAAGGGAGGGCTGACACATCCCTGTGCAACATGCAGATGAGAAAGCTTTTCCAAATGCAGGTTGCTTGTAGCCAGCGTGATCTTTCAGGCCTCACCAAATCATCTACTCACAGCCTGCACAATAATGAACTGGTTTTCCTAATAACTGCTTAAGGAGGGAAGCTACAATATGTTGAGACACAACAGCAAAGGCCATCCCATCTCCCCAGAGCACAGAAAGCAAAGCCAAAAGCTATTCCAGCCTCCCTCTACTTCACTCTCATTTCTTTTGAAACCTTTTTTGCTTCTCTTTTTTCAGACACAAACCAGACACACTGGAAATAAGCATTGATGATAAACAGAGTAATCAGGTCAGTTCATTGAGTTCTGAGCAGCCTTAGCAGTGATTCACTGTAGTGGTAAAAAGAAGAAAGTCACTCACCCTCACGAAGCTGGCGGGAAACCATCCTTCTTCATCATCGATCTGACCCCACCACCAGTCCTTGTTGGAAGCATCCAGGACCTTGATAACGTCTCCTGCTTTAAACGCCAACTCCCGGTTGGCCATGGTGACGTGATCCCATACTGCCTCAGCACTTACAATAGAACCACCACTGATCAGCTTTAAAAACAGAAAACCATCAGTCAATACAAGCTCAGTTCCCCGACGCAAGCACATGCACAGCAGCAGCACAAAAAAAAAGCACTCAGCCAAAGTAAAACAATTTTCCTCCATTCCTTCTCACTATTTCCCCTTCATGAGGTGCAACCCAGCCTGTGCCCATCTCCACAGCCCCTGGCTCTGCTCCCACCCATGCCCCACGAGCACAGCGTGTCGGTGTCCAGCTCCTCTCAGGTCCTACACGTGGGCAAAGCAACATGTCCCCTCCCACCGCCCCCCACAGCTCCGAGCATGCGGGTCTGTCACAGTACGTGGCTTTCAGCTACAGTTCAGGCAGTTTAACGTGTGGCTGGGGGTCCCCAAAATGGCAAAACCAAGTGATAGAGTGTCCTGCAAAGGAGTTTTTTGTTTCAGAGTTTGCTCAGTTACAGGATCAGATGTCAGTTCAAGGCTCAAAAGGTTTTCCATGCAAATCCAAGCAAAGCTTGCAAACATATTTAGAAGAACACTTATTTTATACAGGGAGTTCAGTATTTGTTTAGTGCTGGTGATGTATTGACATCCCTTGCCTTTCAAATCTTCAGGCTCCCCAGCAGATAAGTAGGGCACAGTGGCACCTGCTGACCTGTTTTGGCCCTGACCTGAAGCCCAGCCTGGCTCCTCATGGCCAAGCCTCCAAGACCCACAGACACCAGCTGCTGGGACAGCCTAAGGGTGCAGACACCTGCCTGCTAGAAACTGGACTGAGGCCAGACTTGTGTCTGACAGGACCTACCGAATGTCCCTCCACACGGAGCACACATTTGCCTTAGAGCTGGACCAACACCATGGCAAGGACACAACTAGTTCCCATTTTCACTCTGAATAACCTAGTTTTATATATTTAAAACCCCTGCTAAATGGTTGTGGGAAGGACTGATCTGAACATGGATGTATGTGCATCCACAAGACAAATCATCCATCCATGCCTGGGACACCCACTGCTTCTCAGAATGATAGTAATGTATTTTGTAACAGAATAATAAATTGTGTTTATGTTTTGCCCACTGCAGGAATTCTGCACTGAACAGTAAGACTGCCCCAGCAAATATAGACTTCACCATATGGTTATTAGCTTGTTGGAGCCATCCTGAATCTTGTTCATTAATTCTGCCATTTGAGACGTGCTGAATATGCACTTGGGCTTCCCTCCAAATCAGAGTATCAGCTCACAAAGGAGGAGCTCCACACTGCAACCAGTACAGACCTTCCACATGGCAAGCCTTGAACAGCCACAGATATTCCTTCAATTTAGACAGGCAAGACAAAGCACAAAGACAATAACCCATTGCAGTGGTTCTGTAAGCACAGAGGCACTGGGGATGGTTGGAGTGCTCTTAACGTCTCCTTTGTAAGTTGGGCTTACCCCAGTGTCTGCTAATAACTACCTGCACAGTCAGAACTTGCAGTAAACCTAGCACTGCTGCAGGGCACTCAGCATTAACATGTAAGAGCATTTAAGTCCCTACAGGCAATTCAGTCAACAGATTAAAGGACCTGATTTACCATTTTCCTTGAACTGACTTGCCTTGAAGCGATCAAGCTCCTTAGGTTTGTGACAATTACAGCTGCAGTTTCAGCTCTTCAATTATTAGAGTCACTTGTACATAAAGCAGCAAGATCTGAAAGAGCTTAACTTGACACTTAGTGCCTTTTATCCTCAAAGCCAAGATGGATCTAGTCTGTGGACCTCTTGTTCCCACAATAGATAGTAAATCAACGTTCTTCCTACTTCCATTTTGACAAATCATCTTTTCTAATTGAAATCAGCATGTAAAAGGGCATCTACTGTATTACTGTGCCTTTATCTCACATTTGGACTTTTGATACAGAGTTGCAAGGAGCTGGGCACCAGAGGACTCCATCCAAACTAGTGGTAGGTGAAGTAAGATGGTGTAGGACTCTCAGTCCACCCCAGCTCTGGGCCCTCACTTAGCATAAAGCTAGTTACATCAGGAAAAGTAACAGTTACACATATTGATTTGTGATTCCAGTGCAACAACTGAATGTTTGACCCAGACACTGCTTCCTCACAACACTTTTGTGTTGCTCCCAATCAGGGTTTCTAGATGCATTCATAAATATGAATAATTTGAAATCACAAAGAACCCCAAGGCAGATCTGGAAGGAACAAAGACTTCACAGATGAAGAAAACTCCGTCAATATATTTGAGACCAGTTAACAGTTATCTGTTCTTCTGTGAGGACTCAGCTCTTCACCTTCACTAGTGTTTCCCCTCTGTCATGTTTCCAGACACTGTCCCTCCCCTCCCCAGCCTGTGGTTTCCCTGGATGAGCAAGCTCTGCCCTTCCAGCCTTCTCTTGGCAAATGGCTCTTCCTTCCCCAGAGCATTTCACCAGCCCTTTTAGGCATCTAATCATTTTGCCTGCATCTTTCTGGAACATAGATGACCAGAACTGTAAATAGAGACCAGAAAGACCTCACCATAGGTCTGTGAAACAGCATGAAGTATTTCTTAGTGTCAGAGAAACCCTGCAGTAACACACATGATCTCCCCCTTTTCCATGGCTACCTCCACCAGCGGCGCATGTGACCTTGCATTTAGCCTGTCTAAAGCAATGCAGTAGAGTACATTTTCTTTGTCTAGAAATTCAGTTTTCTTGTCAAAAAATAAATCAGGTTGGCCTGACACTTGTTCCTTTTCTTAATGTCATTGGGTATTTTTTGTTCATTTTTCACTGGTGATGTACCAGGAAGGGAGTTCTTAGGCAGGAGCTGTGGTTCGGCTGCTTCTGCTTCAGCTGACACAGACTTTGCTGTTGCTTCACACACAGGCAGTTCTAGGCACAAACTGCCACGGGAACGTCACTGAAACCAAACTTCAGAGGGATTGCATTTCAGAGCCTCCTAGCCTATTTTGCAAAAAGTGGATTTCCAAGCCTGAGGCATAAAATCCCAGCTCTGAGGAGCCCTTGGCCAGTGGCAAGGGCTGCCAGGGACTTGCAGAGGGCCCGAGAAGCAGGGGGGTGTACTCAGCCTTTTTCTGCTGTTACTGCAAGGATCTGGAAGATGCTTTCAGTGGATTCACATGCCAGGATGCCTGCGAGCAAGCCTTGGCCTTCCAAAATACAAATCCAGTGCAGCCTGTGGAAAAAGGACAGCAGCAGGATGGAAGAATTCAAGTTCCAGCCATGGCACATGCTCAGTCCACTGAGAGAACGTTAGAGCCTAAAATTAAAAGGTCCAGTTTAATTTATTTTGCAAGACATCTTGCTGCATCTGTGGAGCCGTCTGACTCTTTCAGGGCAGGGTTACAGAGACAGAACCTGACATCTGCAGCAGCAAGAGATGATGAACTAAAGAAAGGTCAGGATAAAATATTATTTTCTGAGAGAATTCAACATAAGAGCTCTTTCCTCCAGAAAGTTCATGCCTCTTGGTTTCAAATCTGGGTCTCAGCACTGGGGTCAGATACACTCAGCCAAAAACCTTGAAGGGACTTATCCCTCGTAATTTTACATGTCTACCACACAGCACCTGAAGGTGTCATCTGGACTTCTTTACAATCAGTGAAAAGAAAGAGACACATCAGGAGTGTGATTCATCTCAGCTATTTCAGTTGACTGCCTTCCAATGAGGTGAATCATGCCCCAGAAATTACTATTTCTCTGTGTTTAATTGGGTGATGCAGAAGTTTACATTTCCAACATCTTATGTCCACCCCAGCTACAATTTGGCCATCATTAAAAAGGGGTAACAAAAACCTGGATTCAACAATAATAGTCATTATAGGAACTGTCACATATTAAATCACACTCCCAGACCCAGAATTTTTTAAGTTTGTGAAGGTTGTTGTACACAAAATTCTCAGTACCCACCAGAAGAATTCACAAAACCTCAGCCTTGTAAATTTACAGTCATGAGGGCTTAGATATTTGGGAAAAGTGCCGTACTCATAAGAAGAAGAAGACAGCTAGAAGAAAAGCAATGGGCGATAACATACATTTGGTTTTGACATACCCTGAATACTACTTGTCTTCCAGGTGGAATTATCAGCTCCCACTAAAATCACTCTTGTCAGTTGCTTGTTCAAACTAAAGAGCTCAAAGAGAAAAGTTCCTTGAGGCTTTCACCATGGAACATCCATGCAGGAGAAATGCCCAAGAGCATTTCTTAACAGCAGACCTGAGAATAATTTTTGGTGTTTTACAGGAGACTTCAGAGCACTGCCAAGCACTTGCTGAGTGGGGTGAAGGAAAAGGTTTCTCAGTGGGCAGAAGAATAGATTAACTGCTAGGATGTTGGACATGGATGAGGGACCTGGGTCACTGTTCATCACGGGTCCTCTTCACCTCCTAGCAAACACATAGTCCTGGCCAAAGAGAAGTAGCAGGCTAGACAGATGAGGGGCCACCTTTATGTCCCAGCACCACAAATAAATTGACTAAATAAGGAAAATAAAAAGACAGAAAAAGACACTGCTCTCTCTAATTACAAAAACAGCTTCAAGCAATATACAAAGTTGGTATTCAGAGTAAAGAAATCAATGCTCAAAGTAACTCCAGCAGAACTGGAGCCAGAAACAACCTGAAACCCCCCTGCCAAATGAGACCATCACTTTGCTTTCCATGCTCCCAGAAGAAAGGCACCCTCTTGTGGTTTAGCTGCATTGCTCTCTCACGAGCAGTAATGCTTACTACACAGGCTGATACGGCTGTTAATCACAGGGCTATTCATTGCAATAGCAATGCCATCACCTTAAAGACTTCCCAAGGAGGGCGTTTACAGCTCCCCTGAAGTCCACCTGTCCATCCCCCCCATATGATACGAGCACAGGAGCAGGTGAATGGGTGCTCACCTGAGCTGTGCAGACAGCAGAACCTGGAGCCCATGTTTCAGTCCAACATTTCACTGGTATTTAAATAGGGCAGGTTGACTTAGTTGATGCAGCAGACCAAAAGGAAGCATACAAGAAAATGTTACCCCACCCCATC